GTGATGTGTGGGTGTACCATTGACAAAGAAAGTGACGATGTTGTTGAGATATCATATATGAATTAAATTTACTGAACCCATCAGCTTAAGTTTTTTGGGTTGAATGATGGTTTATTCATACTTAACAGATTTTGAGAAACCGTGTTTTGGAGGAAAATTGCTATGCCACGTGGAGGACAGTGAACCGCCCACGTCGGTGAAGCTTGAAAACAGGTCCACCTCGAACCTTACGAGGTGGATTACTTAGTCATTTATTCTCCATCTCACCCATATAAGGGTTCGATCGAATCCAAGATCGACATGTCCGATCTACTATCCGACACGAATAACCGCCGGTCGGGAGGTCTGTAGGATCCTAAACCTATAAATATAGAGGGCACCATTTTTACATCAGGTATCGAATTTCTCCTTGAACTTACTATTGAGTCCGAGTTATTTTACTGACTTGAGCGTCGGATAATTTGCCCTATTGTGCAGGTCATTTCGTAGAGTTTCGAGTGAGTGAGCTTGCGTGTCCGACTTTGATCAGGTATGATCTCGTTTCGATTTTTGCATAAAAAGAATAATGGTACTAGAAGTTGAAATTCAGAATCATGAAAAATAAATTTGAAATTGAAATTGGTACGGAAAATTGAAACGTTGAGGTAGATGAGGGAGAATGACTATGAGAGAAGGAAAAGGGGAGAGACCAGTAGTTAGTAGTTTGGGTGAAATTGCAACCACACCCTACTCATGGAACTTAGTGGCCTCTTTGTCAAGAAAACCAGTCCGAAGCTAGGTCAATATCGGATGGACTCCCCCCTCCAATTAATTTTTGGAAATTGAATACAGATGGATCTTCACAAGGTAATCCGGATATGGCTGGGGCATGAGGGATCATAAGGAATTCAGAGGGAAATTGGATTAAAGGCTTTCAGCAAAATATTGGAAGCACAATGGCTCTAACAGCAGAGTTATGGAGAATTTTAACGGGTTTAGAGTTGGCTTGGGAGTTGGGGTGCCGCTCTTTGGAAATACAAACAGATTCTATTGTAGCTTGTAATATGATTATGAATCACTCTCGATCTAATACCATCATCCAACCATTGTTGAGGAAGATCACATAGCTGATGGATCAGGATTGGAATGTTTCGATTAAGCATATCTATAGAAAGGCCAATTACTGTGCGGACTGGTTAGCTATCAGAGCCTGTCGACACCCTCTTGGAGTCTATATTTGTGAAAATCCTTCTAGAGGGTTATATCCATTACTGATGATAGATTTATCTGGGGCCACCATGCCCCCTTTAGCCATTGTGTAGTTTTCTTTCTGGGCAATTGCCCCTTCCTCTTCCAAAAAAAAAAATAATATCAATTAATCATATATCTAAATGGCACTAAATAAATAAATAAATAAAAATATCTTTCTTTTTATTTTTTCTTTAAAGCTGGCCACAATCTCTCCTAATCTAACGATCGGTTTGATTTCATATTTAAATATCTCCTTCAAAAGATAGATAATTTTATTAATATAGATAAACTACTAATTATTTTTTTAAGTACAATAAATAGGAGTGTGGATCGAAATCACAACATCTTAGTTGGAGATATATGTCAATTATCGTTAAGCTATATTCGTTTCGACAAACTATATATCTATGTTTCTAAGGAAATTTATATTAATGCTGCATCTCTCAACTTTCCCTAATATGAATTCATATATTATATTAGTTCAATATATGCTACATCAATCTTTGCAAGTATTATTTGTCTGGTCATTAAAAAATTGAACATTAAATTGGATGTGTTTCCTCATCACAATTATGTCACGTGTTTTATTTATTATTATTTTGACAAAACTGAATTCAATAGCTCAGAAATGCTGAATGTGAAGGTTGGTGTAAGCATTTAAATTTTTTTGTCTTTCTAAACAAGACAATGCTGAAAAAGTTCACTTAGCATTTATTGATAACTCATTCATATTTGCTTATTTGTGTACATCACTTATTTGGAATATTTAATATTTACTCTTCTGTCTCTATTTTAGTTTGTGGGTACATTGTCATTACTTCAAACTTTGAATCTAGATACACTTGTTAGTTGATTGTCGTTCTAAAGTTTTTTTTAAAAAAAAAAATAAATAAAAAACAACTTTTACATATAATTGGGTGGGACCTGCTTTACATTAATTTAATTTAAGATACTGTTTAAGACACATATCTACTATCAAAAGATTGTGTGTGTTCAAATCCACACCCCTACATGTTGTACAGAAAAAAAACTAATCGATTTGTATGAAACTTTATCAAATATTAGTATGCTACAGCTTACGAACACTCCACAAGATAGGGTGAGATCTCTCCTATTTGAATGTTCTCGGTAGTTGACATGTAACTCCTAGACACAAATTGCAAAAGGTTGATAGAGGTTAATTATATCTTCAAATCAGTACGATGCTCAATTCATTGATTGATCCTATAACTAGATGCATACACCTTTCAAGTTGATAGTCGAAGGGTATGTTTGGGAATGAGGGTAGAATGAATGATTTAAAAAAAAGATTTACGTATAATTGATTTTTTAAAATCATCGCCTAAGTGATACCATAAAAATCTATTTAAAGTGATTTTAAACTTTCTTAAAATCAATTTTTTAAGTTGCCAACCATAATTAATGGAAAAGGAAGTAATCTAGGAGGATATTTGGCATCCGCACCTATTTATTAGCATTTTTTTTGATTAACAACATGAGCATAAATTAGCAATAAAATGTATGTCACTCCTTTGCTTGGAGTTCGAGGTTTAAAGACTCATACTCTACATTTGTTATTGAAAAACGACTCAGTAAGTTCGAAGGGTCTTTTGTACTCAGAGGATTTGTTAAACCTTCCCAGCTAACTCCTACCTATACGTTTTTGGTGAATTTGAAATGTAATATCTTGTCCATCAAGTAGAATTTGTAACTCGTGTTGTTAATTCTTTGACTTTAAAGAGTTTCAATATTGTTATTCTTTACTCGTGGATGGTGGGTTGCTTCAATTTAATGTAAGCTTGCTTTTAAATAATATTTGAAATGCACATAATTGTATTGAATTATTTCTGTATTTTTTAATTTCCATCTTCAATTATATGAACTTTGAATTGTAATTATGACATACTACTGACATAATTAATTACCACTAACGTGATTAACTAAATGAGATAAACTAAATGAGATAATCTGTCTTATTGGATAAAAAATGACAAGACTTGACAAACAACAATAGAAGAAAAGAGAGTAAATAATTTATCCAGAAGATATGTGTTTAATATACGATTTGATAATTGAATCTCAATTTAAAAAATTGTCCAGTGTGTATGGTAATATATTTGTAAACCAAGAGTAGTTACAAATTAAATTTTAGTTTAATCTAAATTTATATTAATTAATTTATTATCATTTTTTTATGAATTTTGTATAATTATTATTTTACAAAGTTATATAATTTAGAATACATTATATTTTACATGTTTTAAGTTTAACAAACATAAAATGAATTTATAATATGAAGTAATGTATTTACCAAAATTTTTATCTTTTTTCGATGTAATTCTGCATCTTCAAAATTTCAAATTCTAAATCTGGAAACACTGAAAACATAAAAAAGTCGTTTTCAGAATTTCTACTGTTTGGATCACTGAATTCGAAAATAGTTTTAAAAAACGAATATGCAAAATCGTGACAAACACGTATTGGTTGAATCCATTTGATTAAGTGAATCTGAAAACGAAAAATAGAATCGAGTTTCCAACCGAACCGGCCCTAATATTTTTGAAGTTATAAACTTATATATACAGATCAAGATGATTGAAAAAATAATTAGCTTTCATTTTTCATAGTTTGGGATCATGATTCATTGAACTTAGAATACAACAAAATGAAAATATACCAACCCAATACCTTACTTATGCTTCCAACTTTCACAAAAACAAGAGAAAAAATGGAAAGAAAGAAAGAAAAGAAAAAAGACCTTCCAATCTGTATTTCCCTCTTTCACATTTCACCACTCTCAAGTTCCATGATGTTCAAGAAACATCGTCATATTTAAAATATGGAGTCAAAAAGATGATGTAGAACCATAAATTTCGAGCACAAGTATCTTGACACTGTTGTAGAGAGCCATGATATTGGTTTGTGGCATAACTTCAAGTTTAGAACTCCACGATGCTAATATGAAAGGTCAGGACACACTCTTGCAAGTAAAAAGGACAAGGAAAGATAATTTATATTTGCAGAGCCACGACGCTCTACCCTAGAGCCAGTGTTGTAGTGATTTTTTTGTAACTTTCTTTTGTTTCGTTAATTCGAAGTCGTGATGTAGAAAGAAAAAGTCGACACAATTCTTCTTTTTATAAATGTGGTGCAATAGAGCGCTTAATTGATACACAAAAGAGAGAGTACGAGAGAAATCTATTTTGTTGCGAGTTACAGAGAACTTTTAGACTAATTTGTGAGCCTTTCCTTAGAAAAAGCAAGAGAAATTATTCTCAAACAATTGTAAACTCTGGTACTATTTCTTCCTGTCATTTTAGTAGAAATCTACAGGTATAGCACTTAACCCCTACATCAAACGCAAGTTAGAATTTGGTATCCATATTTCTTTCCTTATATTAATCTATTACCGTTATTATTGCTAGAAGTTAAGCTGCAAGTTAGAATTGATTTAATTATAGGATTAAATAATGTACATTGCCTCAGTTTATGATTGATAATACATAATTTTATCGGTGACATGTCTTGCTCAAAGTTCAAAGTTCAAACTTCAAACGCAAAAGAAGAAAGAAGGCAACACAGACGAAGCCATTGTTTCATCTCTCTGTTAAAAGCACAAAGAAAAAATGAAGCGGGTAAAAAGAGGTCGATAATGGGGATTGGACGTTGGAGATTGAAACGAAGGTTACGTACAGAAAGAGGAGAGAGAGAGAGAGAAATCTGTTTTACCTCTGGAACTTGGAAGAGTATTGGGAAACTAAAATCCCAAGTCAGAGAGCAATAATGAAAAAGTCTGATTCTTTCTTGCTTCCTTCTTCGAACAAAACCCAAAACAAATCAATTCTTTAATAAAAGGGGGAGAAGGAGGAGCCTCTGTAGGACTGATCCGCTATCCTGTTCTTAAAGATTACATCTAAAGATTTTCCTCCCACTGCACTGCACTGCACTGCCATTGCTTTCTTTCTTTCTTTCTCCCAAACCCCAGCAATTACTTTCAATCGCTCTGCTTTTACCATCCCAGATTTCCTTGTTTGTTTCCTGAGAAAGTGAAAGAAAGTGGGGGCGTTCTATTTTTTTTTTGTAGTTAAAAATGCAGAGCTTTGAGAACCCAGAACAGTTTTACGCCCATTCTTCTTCCATCTTCCTCCGGTAGCCCAGCATTGCTCTTTAATGGAGTTTTTTGGTTTTTAGTGTTTGATTATTTGAAACTCTGTTTTGGGGGTTTTGGTTTGGTTGTAATAAGTTCCATGGCGGCTCTGTTTTAATTATTGCTTGTGTGAAAACAGGGGAGATGAGAGTGGGGGAATCCATAGCCATCATACGCGTTTTCTTCCGGATATTGAGGAGCTTCAACAATCCGCTGCTTTTCATCACCATGATGCTGTTGATTTAAGCCCAAGTATTCTCTCTCCTCTCTCTCTCTCTCTTAAACATTCCTCTTCTCTAACTACCGTCTGATTTTAAATATATTTTATCCTCTAGGCTCTGTTTTCGGTTTAAAATCGACCCACGCCGGTGCTCTTCCCATCCACCTACCGTACGCGGTATTTCGTTCATACCCACTTCTCTATTTTTTCATCTCTCTGAAATTTTTGAATTTACGAGGGTTTGCATCTGGGTTTCAATGGCGGATTTTGATGGGTTTGTGTAGAGCTCGGATTTGGCGTCATCAGGAACAGGGTATTTAGACACAGGGCAGCAATTGATGCGGCTGAAGAGGGTGGCTCCGCCGCATACGACGGCGGTTACGGTGGCGGCTGCGTCGTCGTTGGGAAACGGGAGCTTTGAGAACTGGGGAGAGTCAGCCATGGCAGATAATAGCCAGCAGACTGACACTTCCACAGACATCGACACCGACGAGAGAAACCAGGTGGTTCAATCAGAAAATGGATAAATGGAATTTTTTTGGGAGTTTCTGGTGGTGAGTAGTTATGGTCTCTGTTTTCTTTTTTCTTGTTAGTTTCAGGGAGCTGCAAATGGAGCTCTCATGGCGGTGGACTCTCTGGATCACTCTAAAATGAAATCTGCAGATCAGAAGGTCCTCTCTATAAGGCTTTTTTCTCTTCCAAATATAGCTTGAAAACTTCAATCTGTAACCATAGAAATTTTTCAACAGACTCTTCGTAGGCTTGCTCAGAATCGAGAAGCAGCCAGGAAGAGTCGATTGAGGAAGAAAGTAATGCTCTATCTCTCTCTTATTATTTGAAACAAGACTCAGATTCATACTAGGATTGGATTTAGAGTCCGGGTCGAAAACTTAATAACTTAAAATCCTTGTTATCTCGGGGCTGGCGGTGCGTATGAGCGTAATGCAAGAAGTGAGACCGATGATATCCCAATTGTAAAATGAAAAAAGGAATCAATTTGAGCCATGAGTATATGCAAATGTGTGAGCTCATTTGGATGAATACTAGGTTTTTGTTTTCTGTATGTATGATTACTAGGTTTTTGATGTCTTGAGTTGATGAAGGGAACATATTTGGAACATTTATAGGTTTTGGTTTTGGATAGGCATATGTCCAGCAGCTGGAAAATAGTCGACTGAGGCTTACGCAGCTAGAGCAGGAGCTTCATCGAGCGCGCCAACAGGTGTTCGATTGGCCGAGGCTTCCTGGGTTTCATGGTTGATTTTCTTGTAAAGGTTCTAGTTTCCTTGATTATGGGAAGTTTATTGTGTTTCTGGTTTGTGTTTGATTGGTATCTCAGGGCATTTTTTTGGCTACTGGGGCTGGAGACCATTGTTTATCAATGGCAGGGAATGGTAAGCTAATAGATGAGTTGATGTTTTTATAACATATCAGTTTGTTATATGAATTATGGGATGTATCGACTATGGTGTTCTTAGGGGCCTTGGCATTTGATCTTGACTATGCACGGTGGCTCGATGAGCATCAGCGGCTGATCAATGATTTGAGAACATCTGCAAATTCTCAGATGGGCGACGACGAGTTGCGGTTTCTTGTCGATGGGGTGATGGCACATTACGATGAACTCTTCAGGCTGAAGAGGGTAGGTGCCAAGGCCGACGTATTCCACATTCTTTCAGGCATGTGGAAGACACCAGCTGAGAGGTGTTTCATGTGGCTGGGAGGATTCCGTTCGTCCGAACTTCTAAAGGTTATAAACTGTTTCATATATGTGCTCGAGATCTACATTCACTTTTATTCGATACGAGAATCAGTGCGTTTCAGTTTAACTAACTTCTCCTGCCCTTGCCTTTGAAACAACAATTCAGATAGTTGGGAACCATTTGGAGCCTTTAACAGATCAGCAGTTGATGGGTATATGCAATTTGCAGCAATCTTCCCAACAAGCTGAAGATGCATTGTCACAAGGGATTGAAGCCTTGCAACAATCTCTTGTAGAAACTCTTTCCACTGCTTCTTTAGGTCCAGCCAGTTCGGGAAATGTTGCGGATTACATGGGCCAAATGGCGATTGCGATGAGCAAGCTTACGACGCTTGAGAACTTTCTCCACCAGGTAACAACTCCAAAACTCTTCGCTCGTATAAACTGTGTGACAATCAAGCATGTGTGCAGCTGATTGAGGAGTCCTTTTGTATCTTCTCTTCTAGGCTGACCTTCTAAGGCAGCAAACACTCCAACAAATGCATAGGATATTAACTACTCGTCAAGCTGCACGAGCGCTCCTCGTCATCAGTGATTACATTTCGCGTCTTCGAGCTCTCAGTTCTCTATGGTTGGCACGTCCGAGAGACTGATATCTAGCCTTGCCATATCGACACTTGGCTGAGGGCATTGTTGGAGGTAATTTGCAGCAACTTCTGTGAGAACCTGGAACCATGAAACTTTGGAGACTGTTTCAAGAATCCATTTGTTGCTGCTTTATTGTGTTTTATCCCAAGTCATAGAAAATGTAAAGGGGGTTAGCTTGTAAGTTGAAACCCTTTGTTGTGTTGCCAAAGTGTCTTTACCATATATTTTTCTCCAAGGATATGCTTTATTGGTAGTATGGTTTAATAGAGATTAATGTAGTCATATATTAGTCCTTTTTTGTACTTTCTTTTGCTAACTCTACAAGTTTAAACATTAGAGTTCACTTGTATAAAAAAGTTTAATTGGAGTAAAAAAAATGATTCAAATTTGACATTTGAATATGAATTGAACAAGTATGGCCAAGCATTTTATTTGAGACAGATCGATAAGAGTTAGTTAAATTTCTCTTTTTTTTTTTTTTTCCAATTTGGTTTAAGCTTTGATTTGTTAGTATGTACTTTTCCAAATATATCTGATTTTAAATATATTTTATAGATTTTTTTGGGAAAAAAATTAAATTAATATTGAACAGAAAATTTTTCCCATGAGAATTCTTGATTCCTAAACAAGGATTCTCCAACCTCTCGACTGTTGAACCAATGAAAAAATTGACACTATATTAGAAAATGTATATACGAGAGTAGGTAATATGTAATTTGCTACTTAAAATATAGTTTATTGAATGAAACATATATTATCATCTAAAAAATCATGGTTTGATCCTCACCCATACATGTTTAACTAAAAAAAAGATAAAAATAATCTTATGTTTCCTTAGTTTTAAAGTATGGATGAAGTTTCAATTTCGATGAGAAATTGTTTCCAAAATATTTTCTTATTTTTAAAATTGGTCTAAAAAGAGGTAATGGTGATCAATTTTGATGAATGTATTTTAGACATTGAGGCTTTCCTTTTCCCTTTTTCAATTCATGTCTTGACTTGAGTTGCATACCAAGAACATTCATATGCAAACATTCTAAGTATGATTGATGATCCCTGATAGAGTGTTCGATTCTTGAGCCAAGAAATTTATTCTCTGTCTCTAGAGTTTTGATCTTAAGGCAAGCCGCATCTAACCTAAACCTTTAGGTTGAAATCGAATTGATTTGAGAGCCATTTCACTAGTATTTTCATGTCAATAATTTTGGAAAACATTTACCCATTTATCCAACAGATGAATCAATAGCTTGTTTGAATGATAAAATAAAGGAAGTACTTTCTTATCTAAAAAGAAATAAAGTACTTATTTTGCCTAATTTTTTTTTTAATTTTTAGAGACACCTGCTAATTACTTTAGTTCTCTGGTATAATTTACTTATTCACAGACAAGCTGATGTTATAAATCCTCATCAAGTTTCAGAAAAAGAAGATAGGCAATTAAGCCAACAACAGGGATAAATCTAAGAGAACTTACAATTCCAACCTTGCTCTCCTTGATATTTTGAAGATTTTCTCCAATCAACCAAGGCTGGAACAGAGTGTAAAGACAAATATCCCAAATAAATGCATAAGCTAACCTCTCTGAATATAGATATTGGATCAAGAACTCCCATCTCTCCGCTATGCTTCCAAAATTACCGTCTGCTCGACCAACGAAGGCCCAGATTATGGATACGATGCATGCTGCACCGCCAATCAGGCCAACGACGGGCGCCCCATTGGTCATCAGAGACCCCAGCCTCGACTGCTGGCGCAGTGGAGAGTTTCCGCTAGCCTTGTTAAGTCGGATTGCCATATAAGGTATCAAAAAGGCTGGTGGATGACATGAAAAGTTGTTAGTTAAAATAGTTATCCGATCGCCATTTTAATTATTGTATCTGAAGTGTAAGTTATCATCCCAGATCCTTTCCAGCCCTAACCAATATGGAGAAACCAAAGGCATATAATGATAACCATAAGAGAACATAAAGATCATTCAACAGATCTTATAATTCTCAGGCATTGCAACTGATAGTCAACGCTCATTGAAAATATATTTTCGACTGCAACTTCTAGTAAAAACAAAAAATAGACAGAAATAAAACTTACTATTTGTAAGGAACATCTGCAGACCCCATAATACATCCAACGAACCCTTGTATCGGTCCCTCTTTCGATCCGTGAACAGCAGGGGAGCAAACATGAGTGTCCACGCGATGACAAAATTGAACAATCCCTCAGACATCTAATGAGAGAGAAAAGCCCATTATGACAATGGTGTCATTGAATAAAGAAAGATGATATATCAGAGGTCAATGATTTGCAAATAATTCTTACTGGGTGAAGAACAGGAGCATCAATTAGACGAATGCCGACTGTCCTGCCAGAAAGTTTATCGCCGAAAATCATGAAGGAACCAAAATTGTAAAACGTATTCTCATGTTACAATTGTGGCAAATGTTCTACAAAGTTAAATAGATCTTGCTAGCTTTTGATATGAGCATAATAGAAATGTAGATGCTGCCTTAATACAAACGAGTCTGAAAAATATAGTGAACCACCCATTTTAGAATCAGGTCCTTATTCATCATAAGTTAATGTATGAATGATAAAATCCTTGACTGATCTGGTCATGTATAAATGCTGATTCTGATAAGGCTTCATAGCATGAAGAATGAATTTAAACTACCCACTTATGTGTAAAGAAACATTCAAACTTTAAGGGGTATCACTCAAAGGTTGTGGAATCAACTAGAATATGAAATCTAAGTCCTAAGCAAAAGAAACATAGACATCGTTTGGTAATGCTCTCATTTCTTTCCTTTTTTCAATAACCAGGGTGTTCAGAAGCCCCATTTCTTACATTTTGCTCCTAGCATACTCCACCTTCTACTTTCTCTAGTTTTTAAATATTTGGTTTAAATTTTGAAATTCTTTTAAAGAAGTAGATAACAAAATAAAAAAAAAACAAGGTGGGACCGGGAGTAGTGCGCATAAGATGATTTTTTTAAAATAGAAAACAAAAAATAAAATAGTTATCAAACAGTCATAATTTTGTAACCAGGGTTTGAACATGGTATCTTTGAGGATATAGCAAATCAACCTGAAACGACACCACAGAAACTCTATCCTTCAACTCCTCACCACAACCCAATCAAATGCTATAGGGGTTCTTTTTCTTCTTCATACAGTTTTTTGAAAAGAAAAACGAATGTTTGGAGCGAGACAGTTCCCAATACTAATACTAAGACAATTGATCAACAAAACATCAGCTATACTTTCGAATTGATAGACAGCAATAACGTAAGTTACAATAACAAAAAAGAATTTAGTCATAAAGTGAAGGAAACAGCAAATCAGGCATACCGGAGTTTATAGCAGGCAATATAAGGAAAAAATTCAGAGAAAGCCCCACAAGAGAATTCACCGTTTCTGAACTGATTGCCCATACAGGATCTCCCTGTACTTATCAAAAACCAAGAGAAATTCATATAAATCCACGAGAGTATACTAAGAAAGTACTATCTATTTGGTAAAACCTCAATTTCCCAACACAGAATTAGGCTTAATTAAATGCAGAAGCGATTAAAACAAACCGGGGCATAAGGAAGGAGAAATAGCCACAAAATGTAAACCGCCTCAGCGGTCCAGAGCAGAAATTGAAGCACCCGTCGGACATCGGAATCACCATCATCAGAAAAGGCCGCAGAATCCGGCAATGTGGGTTTCCGGCGAGTGGCGGGACAGGTGAGAGAACGATTCCGGCGATGGTGTAAGGGTGGGAAAGCGGTGGTGGGCAGTGGTTGCGGTCTGCAAAATCGGAAACGAGAGAGTGAGGAGGAGGACGTTAGGATATAGGGTTTAATCGCTGGAAAGGAGTTGTTGCAGAGCAAAGCTTGAGATGCTATCATGGCCGACGCCATTCTCTCTGTGAAAAGCGTGTGCGTGGCGAAGTTGTGGCTTCCAATTTCGATTTTGAAACGAGAGGCTGTTTCAAGGGTGTTGGGAGTGACGTGGGGAGTTAATTAATCTGGAGTTATTAAATGTGTGTTTGAGGTATAGAATTATTTAGTCTATAGTTATGAAATCTATATTTGGGGTGTAGATTTATTAAATATGGAGTTGTTTAATCTGAATTTTTGTCTGCATATTTTTTCACTTCATTTTTACTCTATTGTCCCGTTAGAGCTACGTATTTTTTCTAATTTTGATTAATTAAACTTTGTTTCATGAATTCTATAATTTAGATCTTAAGTTATATTATTTTATGAATATTTCAAAGTTTTATTTAAGTAGTTATTTTGATTTTTTGTTTCTTTTTAGAAATTAATGCATTTAAAAATTAAGAAAGATCTAATTTTTAATTTTACACAATTTAAAAAAAAAAAATCAAACGCCCTGCATTTTTTTT